ATTAAACATATTTGAACTGTTTGAACTGTTATAGTACATTTGGATTCTTTGGGGCTGTAAAGTATTAATCACTTACTATGTTTTTGCAGATTTTATAATTATTAAATTAGATTTTCATTCATTTTTACTGCATCGACAAAAATCTCCAAGTGACATAACTTACTAGCTTTTAGAATTTTTATCTTAAATTATTAAGGTACTAAGTTAACCCTAAATTACTAAGATTAAAGCCTCACTTTAGGAACAAAAGTTTGATATCAGCCAACAATTTAATAACTTCGTGAAGCAAATCTAGCACATTTTGCTCACTGGTTGAGTAATCCATACTAATAACATGATTAATATTTTTTTGAAATAGTTTTATCTTTCATGTATCAGTTCACTAGTTCTCTCAAAATTAATCCTCAGAATATGAAAAAAAAGGTTTTTCCTGTATTTTTGATCAGCAGAAATGAAGGGGGATTTTCTGCCACAGTGTTGATGGGATGGCACATGGAACTACTGTTACATTTTTTCTGGTAGATGTTGGCTGAAAATCATTGCATTCAAATACACGAGCACTTCCTGGCTGAATCTGAACTTTTTACGAAACTATTTGTGAAGTGAGTAGACAGGTAAAAATCTGGAGGATGCATTTAAAGCTATTTTGGATTGGTAATAAATATGAACCAAAAAAACCCAGAAGTGATGCCTGCTTTCTCTATGTTCCTTGGCCATGTTAGGTAGTGCCCAATAATGTGGTTGCCTCTGAAATAAAATAATATTTGTGGTGTTATAGACATGCCTCTAGTTAGTGGCATGTTAGTGTTAGATAGAAAATTGGTACAAACCATGTCCAATTTAAAAATAGTTTATGAGATTGACAGTTTTACAATTTCAGAAGTAAGGAACAGAAACTGCCATCTGAGCAAAATAAACTCTATTTCTACTCTATGATTATAACATTTTCTGCATGTTTTCATTCCTACTTCATAAGGCTAAAAATGGAAACATCTCTTATTTTTTATTTAAACATGTAAATACATTATGAAACAACTAAAATATAATCAAAAACCAATTTTCAGTATTCTTGCCTGATTTATACATAGTTCAGATAGATTTGTTTTTTTTATTCCTCCTCATTTTTGATGCAGCAAAAATAAATATAACACCAACTGAAAAATGCACTTCCATTTGAATTTGGTTGCATAGAAAAATGTCCAGGAAGAACAGAAAACATAACTGAAAATGTCATTGGAGGGAAAATATCTTTGGACTGCCTCTTTAAGGAAGGATGATCTATTGCCACCCATTTCCTGCAAATGTCTGGTCTAATGCAATTGTACATGGAAGAAGCATAAAGGCATTTTGCTCACACACAAAAGCATGCTTGACTAATGAATGGTCCATGATTTGTCAGGACTGAAGATATTTGCTTCATGACTAAAGCCAGTATATAGCTCCCTTTCCACTTCTGACTTCCTTTTACTCCCTTTAATATATGATGGGGTTTTTGTGAAATTATATATATATATATATATGTGTGTGTGTGTGTGTGTGTGTGTGTGTGTGTGTGTGATATTTGTGCTTGATAAATAAATATCAGCACAAATATAACACAAAATGTGTAACAAAGGCAAAGGTGATGAGCCAATTGACAGATAATGGAAGCAGTTAGCTTCCTCCCATAATTGGGGCTTACCAGGGGTTGTGACACTAAATATATTTATTTATTTATTTATTTATTTATTTATTTATTTATTTATTTATTTATTTATTT